TGCCCTTGGCCTTGGGATCATGTACGTACACGCCGCGGTCCTGCCATTGTCTCTGCCCCGTCGCGTTGGGGGCGCCCCAGGGCGCGGGGCTCGTGGCCACCCGCGCCGCGCGCCGCCCCCGCGCTTCCTGTCCGGATTAAAGTGCTGCTCGCGCTGACCACGCGCCTCTGCTCCCCTCGCCCCGCTCTCTGCCGTGCAGGTCCATTCACATCGTGGCGCTGGGGAACGAGGGGGACTCCTTTCACCAGGACAATCGGCCGTCGGGGCTCATCCGCACTTACCTGGGGAGAAGCCCGCTGGTCTCAGGGGACGAAAGCAGCTTGTTGCTGAACGCGACCAGCACGGTCGCGCGTCCCGTGTTCACCGAGTATCAGGCCAGCGCGTTTGGGAATGTCAAGCTGGTGGTCCACGACTGTCCCGTCTGGGTAAGGGGCGGCAGCTGCTCTGTGATGAGGCTGACGGAGCTTTCCTTTCATTTTTCCCTTCCTCCTCCCTACTTTTCCTCTTTCATGAATGTGAAGTGTCCGGGACACTTGGGTACAGTTTTCGAACATTTCGGCGTAAATCTTTGGTTCTTTGTTTCATCAGGCGGGGAGCAGCCCAGTCAGAACACTTAGAAGGCAGAAAGCCCCAGTGGGAAAGTGGAGCGCTTACTCTTCACGACTGTGGGTTGTCCCTTGGTAGACGCTGACAATTGAATGTGCCAACCCCAAGAGACGGGGTCACTAAGTTTCACCAGCAGAGAGCAATGGGTTTTGTTTTGTTTTGTTTTGTTTTTTAATGCCTAAGAATCTGTGAGTGATAGTGTAATATTAGTATTCTAAAAATAAAGCCCTATGAAGACTCAACATAGGCAAAAATACATTTCACTGGGGCAGTTCAGAAATAGGACCGACCGCTGGAAAGGAGGGGAAAAGACAGGGACTGAGAATTAATTTTAAAAAGCTCATTTATATTATTATTTGCCTTTGAAAATTTTTAGTTTTTAATTTTAATAATGCACATGCCCTATTAATCATTTGTTCTTAGTGATTCATAAATCAGAAATGATATTACGAATACAGCTTGGAATTTTTTAAAGCTTTAAAATTTTCAATAATTGACAAATTGTAATTACGTCGATATATTCTAGTCTAATTCTTGAGTGTTTGATAAAAGGAGAAAGGAATCTACTTGACACAAATGTTTTCCATACACAATAACATCATATTTTGAATGTTTTCATTCAGTCTTATTTGAAAATGTCTGATTCTTACTGGTTTTGGAATTATATTGCTGATCTTCACATATTGCTGTTACATTTTGTAACAAGAAAGTTTAGTGTCTGGAAAAGAAAATACAAGATACCATTATGTGAGATTTTTACATTTAAACAGCAATTTTTAAACTGAATAAAGGGCTGTAGGGAACTAGTACCTTTCTAAAGAAATGAATAGAATGTACATAGAAGAATTTCTTATGCAAATTTCCATATTACAGAAATAAAAGACCACTTCCTCAAATAAATTCTCCGTTAAAGGAAATTTATGTTAATACACTAAAATGAAACACAGGCCTTTGCAATTACAGGGGTGCTATTAAACTCCTAGTTATGACAGCAGTGACATTGATCATAAGCATTGATAGAGAATTTATTGGCTAGAGTCCATTCCAGCAAATGAAGCACTTCTTTTAACTGATCATTTCATTGTGAACGATGTTACAGTCTAAAAACTTAACAGTTCTACATCAAGTTGAACAAATGTTGAATGAGTAGAGGAAATAAATCGAGGGAAAATAAAATAAGCTGAATTAGAATATTAGGATTACCTTTTACATTTTTTCTTGGAGCTGTTAATTCCCCTTTATGTTGTTAATTTAGCAAAAAAATGATACTGTGATCCCCTACATTGTAGTAAATGAATCTTCCAAATAGATTAAAATAAGCCCCAGCAGTCTGGACTTTTCCCATATACTCATTGTTATGTTTTATTATGCTAATCACCTTTTGTTTGATTAGACTCTGGCCCTGTTTAAGGCATTGAGTTTGTAACCAGTTATAATTTTCCAGGTTGTAATGGTCTTCAGACATAGTAGAATACAGTTACAATGTTTCTCTTTATAAGGTGTTTTTCTCTTGGTGGTAAAAATCCCATCAGAGATATCAAAGTTGATTGCATTCATCAGCTGATATTTGGCATGTACTGAATCAGAATATTAAATATAGCAGAGCAGATAGAGCACAGGTTTTGATATAAGAAGGACCTGATTTCAGATCCCCACATTACTACTTGTGGAGATTCCTTGGTAAGTCACTTGTCCTCTCTTAGCCTATTTTCCTTATGTATAAAATAAACAATAATTTCTTCTTCCTAGAGCTGTGTTGAAGAGTAAATGACATAGTACATGTAAAGTTTTTAATATAGAGGCTGTCATATAGTAGGTACTCAATAATAATAGAGTATTTATTACAACTTTAGTATAGCCGTGTATTATCTAAGCAAAAGTAAAGTTTTCCCATCATTCATGATTTACACAAATACAATACATTGAGCCAGCAGTGTTAGTAGGTGTTGTATTTGTAGCCCCACAAATCAGGTAAAATACAATTGTTGTTTTGCTGTAAAACTTCAGATTATTTTTTAAAAGATGAATTTTATACTCCAAATGTGGCTCCAAGCCTTGTGTTGCATAACCTCCTAGAGGAAATCCTGGAACTGATTTACAAGGGGTAGGAGAATTTGATTTCCTTCATATTTCTAGAAACCAGTGGAGCATTTTCTCTGACATAGTTTGGGAAGAAATGTGGTGTTGTTTCCTTAGAGTTGGAATGAGATAATTGGGCTTCTCTTTTCTAGTTTAGTTTTCTTCTGTCGATCTGTAGCTTTACTTTGGATCCTTGCCATATATAAATTGACACTTTTAAATAAATGTGCTTCACATTCATTTTATGTAGCTCTTTATTTAGTATGTCTCTCTCTGAAACCCACCCCCCCTTTTTGGGTGCAGTTATATTATTATTTCATTTCTAGATCTTTTTCTGTTTACTTAAAATATTCCATAAGAAGTGGTGATTTGTGCACAGTTTACTTGTGCAGGGTTTGAAGCTCTGATTTGTATTAAAAATAAAATTATTTATATGTCTTTATATCCTCCACACTACAGTATTGATGATGCTAAAACCTGTTTATTTTCTCATGACATTTTACCTCAGATGTTTTCCCCTACCTTCCACATCTCTCCATCAACTCTGGAATTATGAACTATTTGGAATGCAAAGAGCAGTTACTTTGATTTATTCTCTCAGAGTTAAATGACTGCTTAATATTGGTCCCACTTATGTTTAGTTTTGTATCCATTCCTCTGACGTTGCCCTCTTTCTTTGTTATACTTATATACCCCATTGTACTTGTATACTTTGAGCTTGGATACTATAACAGATACAGTTGGAACTGAATGGGTTTTGTGGTTTGGGATTTGGAAATTAGCATAGAGCTCTGCTGGGAAGCTTTCACATTTTCTTGGTCTTTGTACAACTTCACTTCTCCCCCCTCTTACACCCTCTACTGAGTGCAAGAGTTTGTACTTCATATTCCCACAGTTTGCCCTCTTTTTTTGGTTCTTTTAATCTTCCTTTAAAAATGCTCTATCCTACTTTCAGTAGGGTATTCATATCTAAAAATTCTGTAATTCTTGGTAGGTACTCTGAGTGCACGTGTAAGAAATGGTTGGGTTGGGAGAGTATAGGGAATTGGGAAAGGCTTTGCTGGGGGTGGGGAGGTACTGGTAAAAAGCTCTCTGCAAAAGAGCATTGCTGTATAACACTTATCCAGAATCTTCCATCATAAGATAAAAAAGCTGACATGCGCACACAGATCTTGATTGATCAATTCAAACACTATTGGCCCTGTTTTAGACGCATTTCAAAGTGCAAACTTTCATAGCCCAACAGTGTTTGGATCTATTAGCCAGGTCTAGCTATATATTGTCTGTCTGTCTTTCTTCTTTCCTTCCTTCCTTCCTTCCTTCCTTCCTTCCTTCCTTCCTTCCTTCCTTCCTTCCTTCCTTCCTGTCTGTCTCTGTCTTCTCTCTCTCTCTCTTCTGTCTCTCTCTCTTTGTCTCTCTCTCTCCTCCCTCCATTCCTCCCTCCCTCCCTTCCTTCCTTCCTTCCCTCCTTTTCTTTCTTTCTTGGAGTTGAAGGGTGGCAGTTTCCAATAAATCTTTATTCACAAAAAAACAGGCATTGGGCCAGATTTGCCTGCATAGCTGTCTATTTTCTTAATCTAACTTTATTACATCCTAGAAATGCATACTAAAGGCCACATGAAAGGATAATGATTAATAATTAACTAGACTATGAAATCTACTCATGCATATTTAGCAGTGATATTAAGATAAAGATATTTTCTTTATACCACTTTATACAGAATCTTTGAAAAATATTTTAAAAATATTAAAGCACTAAATTTTAAGGAGTAGGGTCTGTAATAAATTACTTGGCCCCAATTCTAAATATAAATATTATTAACTGTAGCACAAAAGCGAAGATCTCAAAACTGGAAAGATTTATGTTGAATTTTTAATTTATATGAGCAAAATACATGAATTGCCAATATATTCCTTACCATTTTAACACCTTATAATACACAGTATTTTTTATTGAAGCACCACCCCATGCACATGCTGTATACACTGTATGCATGCAGTCTGTCCAAAGGATACATAAAGTTGAAAAAGTATCTGAATTTTGAAAATATGGATAAAGTATATGGAACTCCACGGAATTCACAGTGCATTACAATTCAAAACACTGAACAGTCCTGCAGTGTATAATTGGGTCACGGAAAATCCTTTGAAGCTTCCTTACTCATACTGATGCTTTTGCATCTAATGTATAGTGTTAAATTTTTGAAATTACTAGGTGATAAAAATAAGGTTTAATTTTAAAACAAAGTGCTTATTTTTAAAAACAAATATTAAAAATGCTTACTTAATTTCATTGGACTCAGAAAGTCTCTAGCTCTTCTATTTATCCACGTAGTTGTCTAGGCCAAGTGAATAAATAAAAAGTAAAAAAGTAGACTTCAAACATGTTAAATTTCATGTACTTTTTAGTTACTTTTATTAAATAAAATTCTTTATTCCAAAAGTTGAAATATAGATAGCAAAAAAATTAAACTAAAATGTTATAGTTTATTTCATGATTGATTTGAAGACAGACTAAAGATTGCTCTTTGCATTTTGGTTTAGGACATTTTTGACAGTGATTGGTACACGTCTCGAAATCTAATTGGGGGCGCCGACATCATTGTGATCAAATACAGTGTAAATGACAAGTTTTCATTCCACGAAGTGAAGGATAATTATATTCCAGTGATAAAAAGAGCATTAAATTCAGTTCCAGTAATCATTGCTGCTGTCGGTACCAGACAAAATGGTAAGTATTTAATTTTCTTTTTTATGATGAGAGTACAGGTACCAAATTAATTTTAAATAGACCTAAGTTTATTAATATTTAATATTTTATTTCAAGGAAAAAAATGACTGGATTCAAATGCCAGCTATTATCATTGGATATGATAATGAGGAATCAAAAGTATTGCAAACTTCTGCTATGATTCTGATGGGTAAAAAATTGTCTTCTAAATTACTCTTCTACAGACGTGAAGGAAGTCAGTAACTGTGTTCTTTTGACATAGGAGAGGTATTAGATGACTCTGAGCCCTAGAAAACTTTTCGATCATCTAAAGCAGCAATCTCCAACCTTTTGGCACCAGGGACCGGTGCTCCTATGAGAATCTAATGCAGGATGATCTGAGGTGGGGCTAAGGTTGTGATGCTAGCTCTGGGGACCAGCTGCAAATACAGATGAAGCTTAGCTAGCTCACTAGATGCTAACCTGCTGTGCAGCCCAGTTCCTAACAGGCCACGGACCAATACTGATCCGCAGCCGGAAGTTGGCGACCCCTGATCTAAAAGTCTATCCATTTAGGAAGGCCAGATTGTCCACATAAGGATGTGGGTTTAGGAGCAGAGTTTTTAGGTAGATAGCAATGAGTGAGCTGAATACACTGACAACACCTCTTAAGAGGAAGAGTTGTTTACTCCATAGCTGATGGACTAACTTGGTTCAGTAAGTTTCAGTAGTTGCTGGTATGCTCCTGACCTTTGATTCATGAGATATTTTTTTAGCAAGTTTTTTTATATGAGGTAAATATTACACCCACCCACCACCTCTATTTACATGGACTTTTTATAAGCAGTTTCCATTTATGCAGACTCATTTTACGTGAGTCTTTAGATCAAGGCATTATTTCCACCTTTAAGATTAATTATATTAAACGGAATTTTAGTGATATTTTTAATAAACTTGAAGATAATGAATAACTTACAGTTACAGAAGCCTGGAATAAATACACAATTTTAAGTTGTATCAAGACTGTTGCTTTAGCTTTGAATGCTTGCTGGAAAGAAATATGGCCAGAAGTGGTTGTACCTGGAAATATGGTTCCAACAAATGAAGAGGCATGAATTGGCATTATTAATTTATTAAATAAATTTCAAGAAGACTGTGACAATTTGTAGATGATATTAACGAATTACTGGTTGATCATGAATTAACTGAAAATGAATTCATTTAATATCTGAAACCCATCCTGCTGATGAATATGACAGTGACCTTGAACCAGTTTCATTCACTGCAGAAAATATTTACAAAGCTCTTCAATTGGCCACAATACTGGAAACTGAAATTCTAGATATTGATCCAAATAGCCAATGAGCCTTAAAGTTTTGAAAAGTTATTTAAAAATTTTGCAGTGAATATTGAAGAATTTATGAAAACTTAGCAAAAGATGGGGTTGGAAAAAGATCATCCAAAAACATAAACATAAATGATGAAACCAAAGTAATTCTAAATATTTCAAGCTATAAAGACAGTGACTAAAAAAAGAGTGATTGCTTTAGATTACAGTACAGACACCGTCAGCAAATAAAATTTATTTTGTTTTCTCTGAATTTTCATTATCCTTTTTTTGAAAATATGTGAAAGAAATATTTTTGTGACTTACATTGGCCTATTTCTTTAGCTGACTCTTTTTACACAGTTTTCTTCCACATTAAAAAGTGTGGAATGGATAATCTGCGTAGATCGAGGGATAGGTGTATGTATTATTGCCAAATCTCAGGGCCAACTCAAAATTCATTTAGTGGTATTTTATAGTTCTTAGTGGTATTACCTCAGTGAAGCTGTCTATGAAATTTTATTTTTATTTATTTATTTTTGTACTTTTTATTGTGGTATATAGCAAAGTAAAAGATGTGAAGTTTACTAATCTTAGAGTGCAGCTTAGTGCATTTTTACATTTGTATATACTCATACAACCATCACATAGATCAAGATATAGAACATTTGCAGCTCCTCAGAAGGCTCTCTCATGCCTTTTCCCAGTTAATAACACCCCTCCCCAGAGGTAACTGCTATTCTGAGTTCTAACAACATAGATTAGTTTTACCTATTCTTGGACTTCATACAAATGGAATTATACAGTTTGTAGTGTCTGGTGTCTGACTAATTTCAGTTAGTGTAATACTTTTGAGATTCGTCAATGATGTGCTTATCTGTAATTTGTTTTTATTGCTGCATATTATTCTTTTGTATGAGTATTCTGTAATTTATCCATTCTCCTTTTGATGATGCTTAGGTTGTTACCTAGGAGTAAGATTGTCGAGTCATAGGGTAGGTATATGTTTATCATTAGTAGATACAAATAAAGCAGATTTGATCTTTTTTTGATTCCATATTCCCTCTATTTCCCTATGTTTCTTTTTATTCCTGGCCATAATTCTTGAAAGAGTCGTCCACACTACCTCATTCCACTTTCTGACTTCCCATTCATTCTTCAGTCCACTACAGTCTGATTCTGATTTTTACAGTTACAATGAGGTTGCTCTCAGGATTGCCAGGTTATATGCTCGCCAAATTTAATGCATTTCAATAATAGTTCTTTTTTTGAAATTATTCAAACATACCTCTTCCTTCTTTTAATAAAGCTACTCTTTCTCAGTTGTTTTAATTCTCTATCTTCTTTACTGGTCCCTCCAACTACCCCTCCCCACCCCGCCTCCCACACACACACCTTATACACATACATCAGCATATCCTATAGTTATTGCCCAGAGTTCCATCCTTTGACTTCATCTCTTCTTGCTGTACACTCTGACTATAAACCCACTAATCTCTTGCCCTGATGATTACCTAGTCTGTTTCTCTGGCTCCAGACTCTCTCATAACCCATAGCTCCACAGACATCATCTTCCTCTCTCCACCGATTTCTCTGTCTTGGTGAATGATGCCAAACCTATCCATTCACCCAAACTAGAATTATCCGACCCAGCTTTCTCTCCCATTTCCCATATCCAGTTGACTAAGAAACTATTTTGATTTAAAATTTTAAGTAAAACTCATTGAGTCCTCTTCACCTTCACTGGATTTCAGATCCTCGTCATTTAATTATCTGTCATAGTGACCTTCTTTTCGGTCTCCTAAAGGGGCAGTTCCAGATTTTGTTGCATCCGAAACTTACACAATTTTAGAGGTTTTTTGTGAGGGGAAAAAGAACTCCAAAAATTATAGATACATATATATATATATATATATAAGTGAATGTTTATTTAGAAAGAGAAGAGAAAGCAAAACAAATTACAAACCTGAAAAGGCTGTCAAATACTACAAACATAAAAAGTGTTTCTATTATTTAACAGCTTGACACTTTAACTTTTCTTATATTTTTTGGGCTTCATAGTCATTGATCATCTTCATATGATAACCATTTTTTAATATTTTCTATGGAGAGAAGAAAATGATAATCAGTTTTCTTCCAGCATATTTCTTCACTCTCCACATTGGTCTGGGCACTATAGTTTGTGTTGCGTTCGTTCATCTTTCAGCTTGGCATCTTTGTGTCATGACACCAAATAAATCAGCACAGTGGGTGCCAGAAGCATTCCTAAAGGCCATTTCATGTACGAGGACGCTTAACAGTACAAGGAAATGACTGCAAACTACAAGTAATATCTCACTAAACCTAAATTTAAAGTCCTCTTAGCATGATCCTCAAAATGCCTATGAAGTGAATGGGAAGAGACATTGGTCTTAACCACTGTAATTAAACTATCTTATTTTGCAAATTTTACAAAAGCATATGACCATGTGATAGAATCTATTGATCAGGTTCTTCCTAGGGCTTTGGGAAGGACCCACAAGAAAAGGGCTGAGGCTTAAGCTTTATCAGCTTCATGGAAAATTGGCCTCTCCTCTTCTCTTCCTGCTTTGCCTCTTTCTGAAATAAATCTTCTCATGATAATCATCCTAGAATACAAATCAGATCATGACACTCAATACTTTAAATTCTTTAGGAACTTTCTGTTTTCCTAACTTTCATTTGCAAAATTTCAAACCTGAGAAAATTGACAAGAACCGCCCAAATTTCTCTCTCTCCCTCTCCCTCCCTCCCTCTCTCTCTCCCTTTCCATTCCTCTCCTCAGGGATATAGCAGCTTTTGCCAACTCCCCTTTCTTAGTCTCATGTCCCAGCTAGACTACACAACACACGCACACACACACACACACACACACACACACACACACACCTCTCATTTGAACCATTTGAAAGTAAATTGCAAACATTATGGGATTTTTTCAATCCTAATTATTTAAGCCTGTATCATTTAAGAACAAAGCCATCCTCTTATTAATTGTAATGCAATCATTACTCAAGAAATGTAATTATTATCTATTATACTTCTATTTAAAATATAATTTTTATTCACATTTTCCCAATGGTTCAAAGATGTTTTGTTTTTTAATCCAGGATGAAATTAAGGACTACACATTGCATTTAGTTGTCATGTCTTTCTAGTCTCTTTTAATCCAGAATGGTCCCAGCCTTTTTGGGGGAGTGGGGAAGAGAAGGAGGTGTCTTTCATGACATTAACATTTTTAAAGACTCCAGGCCCGTTATTTTGCACAATTCCTTCAGGTCTGATAACTGTGGTTGCATAATAGTGATTTTTTAAGTCATTTCTTCTACACTTATTAGTATTCTCTGTAATTAGAGCTTTCCCTTCTTTCTGCTCCCATATTTTTTTTTTAAGAATCATTGTGATTCATGGATTTGCTCTTTAAATTCAATATTTTATAATCTATTCTTCTCATTATTCTTTCTGATGCTCAAATTACCCCAAATTTGCCCAGAGGCAGCCTCTCTGAGTTAGCTCCAATTAATTTTTGAGTCCTCCTGATTTTCTGACACAAGATGTTCCAAGGCTCACCTTAGACTTTGCTGGCCTCTGCTCTGGAATCAGTCATTTTTCCAGGAAGCTCTGGTTCTTCATAGTGAGTAATGATATTTGGGAACCAAGATCTGGACTGTAGGGG